CCAAAACTGTTGATAGTCCTTGATCAACCCCAGAAGAATCCACAAGGGAAAACGGTAGGGCAGAAGAAGAGTCCAAGGGTAAATCGCGGCGTATTTGGACATGGGCAGGGGTTGGGTGATACCAGGTATGGTCAAAATCATTGGATTTTGCAATTTTTAAATGATCGACGTGAACCTAGGAAGTATAAGGGACACCTTCCATAGTTGTGAGCTTGTATATATTTTTATCTGCATTCTTGTCTATAACTATGTATGGTCCCATCCAGTTATATTCTAAGCCAAATTTGTTTTCATGTCGTAGCAATAAATGTTCACCAATTGCGAATTGGTGCAGTTTCATAATAGAATCCCATTGTTCCTTGTCTTGTTGGCTATTGGTGGCTACTCGAGCATCAGCATTAATGCAGGCTTGTTGCAGATTGTGGAGAAAAGGGATAGCACCATCAGAGACAAGAGAAGGATCATCAGGAATAGCGGTATCCATGAATGGGCGTAGAGGATCACCCAGAATACGAGGTTCATGGCCATAGGTCAGGAAGAATGGACTGAAACCAGTTGTTTGGTGTTTCCTAATTCAGCAGGCCCAGAGTGCAGTTTCCAAATATTCATCCCAGTGATGAATAGCGCCGTGTACATATTTTCGTAGCATCTGTTTTAAAATATCATTTAAACGTTCACATTTTCCATTGGTTCGAGGGTGAAATGCTGATGTTAACTTGTGGTGTAATTTAATCTTTTTAATGTAAAAGCTGAGGATGTGTGACATGAAATTGGCGCCGCGGTCAGTGAGGATCTCGTTGGGACAACCAAAACCCATTACAATTTCTTCATACATGAAATTGGCTATTGCTTCACCCATAGCAGCAGGTACAGCACGTGCAATTGGCCAATTGGTGGCGTAATCTACTGCAATGAGAATCCATCGGTTACCATTTACAGTTGTTGGGAGCTCTCCAATGAAACCTAGATGCCAGCGGGAAAATGGAGGGGGAATATCTAGGGGTTCCATGGGTGCATGGTGGATATTTCGCTTGGCATTGGACGCTAATTGACACTGGGGGCACTTTGCAAGCCATTCTTGGATCTGTGTTCGCATTTCTGGCCACCACCAACGTTTCTTCATCAAGTCATAAACTGTTGTCTCACCAGCATGTCCAAACCCATTGTGGAAATTGTTTACCAGATCGGCACGCTTGGTAAACAGAGCAAAACGGATTTCTTGAAATGTGTCACCAATCTTAACCAAGCAGAAAACCTTCTGATCATGAACCACAAATTTCTTGCACTGTCTGTGTAGCAACTCTTTTATGTCGTCTGGCCACTCATCTTCCGTGCAAGCATAGTATTTGGGCCGATCTGAAGTCTGTGATTCGGGCATGGTGTACAGATACTCTGGCTCTATAGACTCGATTGTAGATGCATCAAATTCGGGACTGTCCATTCTAGAAAGTACATCCGGGACACCATTGTCTTTGCCAGGTTTGTATTGAATAATGGGGTTGTACAACTCGAATTTGGAAATCCATCTTATTAATCGAGGGGTTGGTTTAACTTGGCTATGGAAGTACTTGAGGGGCAGGTGGTCAGTAAAAACAGTAAATGGTTTCCCTTCAATCATACAGTGCCAGGTACGTAGTGCATGCAGTATTTCTAAAAGTTCACGTTCTTGGGCTGGGTAGGAACGTTTAGCACTGGAAAGTTTCTTGGATTCAAATGCCAGTGATTTCCAGACTCCTTCTTCATCTTCTTGCATCAATATAGCACCGACACCAAAATCGGAAGCATCTGTCTCAATTCGGAAAGGTTTGTCCATATCTGGTGCAAGTAGTACAGGTGCAGTGCTGAGTTTTTCCTTAAGGATGTTGAAGCTGTCTTGACAAGTGTCAGTCCATACAATTGGTTGTCGTTTAGGTCCTGTTCCTTTGGTAAGATCAGTTAATGGAGCTGCAATTCCAGCAAAACCTGGGATAAAACGGCGATAATACTGTGCCAAACCAATAAATTGACGCACTTCTTGAACATTAGAGGGTGGAACCCATTCTTGTATGGTCTTGACTTTATCTGGAGATGGGAGAATGCCTTGAGCAGACACATTGAAACCAAGAAATGTCAGTTTCTTTTTGTTAAATTCACATTTTTTAAAGTTGGCAATCAGCTTGGCTTCGTGGAGATGATTCAAGACATGTCATACATGTTCTTCGTGTTCTGCTGAGGTTTTACTGAATATGAGAATATCGTCCAAATAGACCAAAGCGAAGTTGTCTAAACATTCTCCCAGAACTTTGTTCATCAAATGTTGGAAAGTTGGCGGGGCGTTGGTAAGACCAAAAGGAAGGACTAGGAACTCGTATTGACCATAGCGGGTGTTAAACACTGTTTTTGGCACATCTGAATCTTGAATGCATACTTGATGGTAGCCACTCTTGAGATCTAGGCTGGTGAAATGGTTGGCTCTATGCAATCGTTCTAGGCATTCGTCAATTCTTGGTAAAGAATGGTTATTGCGGATTGTGACTTTGTTGAGAGCATGATAGTCTATACACATGCGCATTTCACCATTCTTTTTCTTTACAAATAATATAGGAGCACCCTATGGAGATGAGCTAGGGCGAATGAGACCAAGGTCAAGGAGTTCTTTGAGTTGCTTTTTGAGTTCGTCAAGTTCTCGGGGGCTCATCTTAAAAGGCGGTTTGTTTACAGGGTGTGCATCTTCAGTGTTTATTACATGTTGTATATCTCGACTCGGTGGTAACCCTGGCAAACTGTCTTGGAACATATCGTCAAACTCTTTCACTAGTTTCATCCATTGTTCATTGTTGGTTACTTCTTTCTTGGTCTTGATGTGCAGCAAAAAACACTCTGCCTCCTCCCTCCAAGAGAGTTTCTGGACTTGCTTTGCAGAAATGAGGTAATTAAGTTGAGGTTTCATGGGGTGGTTGCCATGGGAACGCAGGACAAACTCTTGGCCATCACAATATAAAGACCAGTTATCTTGATGCCAGTCAGGAACAGGTTTAGCAGTCTGTAACCATGTGCGACCGAGAATCAAATCGAATTTAGTGGGGAAGATAAAAGCATCAACACTATCAGTATAACCATTAAGAGAAAGTGTAAGTGTGGCTTTCTGGTTAATTTTGATGCTATGCCCTCCAGCAGTTTCAACTGATTGCCCAGAAATATTCGAGACTTTTGTGGCAAGGTGTTTGATCTGGGGTGACATATAGTTTGCACTGGCTTCACTGTTGATGAGAATCAAGATTTGTTGTCCGTGAAGTGTTGCCGCATATAATGGTAAATCTGTGTCCACAGCAGAGTGAAGGTCTTCCAAAAAACGTTGATCGGTGGTGAGACAAGGGTCACAATTTTCTTTGGAAATGGCTTTTTTCTCTTCATTGGTAACAATTTTGTACTGGTCAAAAGTTTCTTTATTACTTAAATGTTCTGTAGGCTCATTACTAATACTGGCCTGTGGGGAGGATTTTTCTTCCATTGTATACAACCGACCTCCCATTACGGTTGTATTTTGCGAAAACCCTGCTTCTTAAGATGCTCCTTGTCCAACTTCTTGATTGCGGCCAGACGGTCTCTACAATTTCTCTTGAAATGACTGGAGTCACCGTACCAATGGCAAGTAGCATTAGTGCGTCTTGGAGGCGGGCAAGACTGGTAGTTGCTGCGACGGTTGTTGATTGCATCCAGGTCCATGGGCTTGGGTCCACTGTACTGATATTGCTGTTGTTGGTACTGTGGCTGGTACTGTGGCTGGTATTGTTGCAGAGGTGGTACAGATGCATAATTGTTCTGGTATCCGAGTTGGAGACCACTGACATATGTCAAGGCAATGTTACAAGCATCATCAACATCAACAGGGCGGGCAGCAAGGACATTTCCATGGATGGATAGGTGTAGTCCATGGACAAATTTATCAAGTGCCTCTTCATTGTTCATTCCAGGCAATTCCAATTGAATGTCTTGGAAGGCATCGATATATTCAGCAACAGTTCCAGTCTGGTATAATTGTGCTAGTCGATCTCTAGAGGTCTGGAGGGAATAAACTGGGCGGAATTCTCTGGTGAGGGCTGCTTTAAATTCGACCCAAGTAGTGGGATGGTCTGTTTTGAGTTCTGTGCGTCTCCACCATGTGTCAGCTCTATTGCGCAAAAGATTTACTGCAAAGTTGCAGGCTTTGGTCGAGGCGAAATTGTAGTACTTGGTGTAACACTCGACTGCGCGCAGCCAGCCATCTACTACTGCGGCGGAGCATTCACCTCGGAAACAATCAGGCTGCTTGATTCATTTGGCATGGGACTCCTGTTGTGCTGTGATTGCTTTCATTGCTTCTGCAACAGTGGCTGCGATTGCTTCAGTGGTTACGGTGGCAGTTTGTGGGGCCATCTCTTCTAGTTCTTTATTTTTTCCTGTTAATGTTGCGGCAAGTTTTTTTGCAAGTTTGGACCACTTTTGTTCTCGTGCAGGAGTGTTCTTGAGTCTCTGTTCTTCAGGTATATGTGGTACACACCAGTTCTTCTTGTAGTCGTTTACTAGTCCTTTGGGTAACAAGTTCTGGATTCGTTCTTCAATCTTGAAATGGCTAAGTGTCTTTTTGTCAAAATTTTCTTAGTGTCTTTCACCAGGATTCATCAAAGGTCTTTAGGAGGAAAAATAGCTTCAGCTACCAATTGTCGTTCCCGATCTGGGTTGGTCTTCCTTTTACTATAACAAAGTCAAAAGGTCAAACCCACTGGGGATCAAGGAGTATATGTAAAATCAAAGAGAGAATAAAAGATACTTTTTATTGATATGAATTGAATTGTCTTATATAGTTTTCTAAACTAATACTGCGCATTATCTGCAGTAAACTATTATACTCTATTTAAATACAAGAGAAGTCCTTTTACTGCGGTTAACTATCTTCAGATTTTACAGATTCATCAAAATAATGTCTGACACATGACATTTTTCCAAAATAGAAATATTGTTTCAAATGAGCATATATCTTCATGAAAACGAAGATAGCTAAACTGTGGAGAAGCTGGGCGTCGATCCCAGTGCCTCTCGCATGCTAAGCGAGCGCTCTACCATTTGAGCTACATCCCCTTGTCTTCGGGCACACACTCTTCCTTCTGGTTGTCTTCTTTCTCTGCTCCATTCTCATCATCTCCAAGCATCAACACTATCCACTCTTCACACAAACCCTCTTTTTGCCAGCATTCCCCCTGATCTTAATTGCTCCAGCCGCATAAAACTATCCAAGCACTTTGAGTCTTTTAGACAAGAAAAGTTTGCTCACTTTCGTCTCACCAACACTAAGATTCTCATCCAAGCTTGCCGCCCTCTTCTTGAAGTTGATCCTGTATTGTTTCTTCCTGCTACACGCATAGAACGTGGCCGTCTAGTACGTTGGAGAATGGGCTGGTTGCCTGGTAAGCCAAAGGAGTGTGCATGTGGCTTTGATCATACTTCAAGACGCCATCTCCAATTCTGCATCACAATCCCATCTCAGCTGTTCTCTCAACTTCCAGCATCACCCACAGATGAAGACAACATCATTGACTTTGCTATATCAGCACTACCAATCTCGTTTACACATCCAAGCCCTCTATATTGGAAAGCTCTTCTTACAATACTATGGCATATTGATATGCTATGCAATCCTAATGGCAACTACACACATGAAACCGATCATAGTTCTCTCTGGCACTAGCTCTAATAATTTAATATCTGTTTTCTTTTACTTCTTTTCTTCTTATTTTTGTCTTCTCATTCATGAAAGGTTTCTAGATCTGCAATTCTGTCTCCTCCCTTTCACTGTTACAACTTTTTACACAGCTGCAAAGTGGAGAGCAGGTTTAGTCTTTTAGCTTAGTATTGTTTATTTCTCTTCTTCTATTCATTTTTTTGTCTTTTGTGATCCTTTTGGACTTTTTTTCTTCTTTTTTTTTTGTACTTGGGAGGCTATATGATCTATAGATCGCCAGCGATATCTCCTTAATAAAAATAATCTTTAACCTGAGCTACATCCCCATCTCTCTTTCACGTAAGCTACTGTTATACAAGACATAACAAAAAAAATTGGTTGCATCCATACAAAAGCTTCATCAATCCGTCCTACATCTTGTTCAAAACGTTACATCCATTGTCAAAAACATTGCATCCATTACCACTGTTGCCTTATCTATCAGCAGAAAAAATTTCAGCCGATTCCGACAACTCTTCATTTTTGCGATCTCAAATGTCAACATTGCTGCCATCCTCTGTCATGCAGGGAATGTCACCCGATCTCGCCTCATTTCTGAGGAACATGCAGGCCCAATTCATGTCACTACAACAACGTACCAATGAACTTGAATCTCTTGCCGCAACTAATGCTAGATTAACTACTCAATTAGTTAATGCGGAAAAGCTAATTGCTGATCTCAGATCTCAATTAGCATCTCAGGGCAATTGCCAAATTACAACAAATGCATCAACATCATCTGCACCAACCACACCCAAGGAGCCTGGCACTGAGGCTTCTACATGGGCTACAACTGCTGCTGCTGCTCACAACTCTGTTGTTGTTCCTACTGCTCTTTCTGTTTGCAAGACTCCAAGACCTCCTTCTGTTCGCCAGGTTGCTGCTTCTGCTAGAATGTTTGCCATTCCCACTGGTCCCAAAGGATATCAATATGTGTATATCCCACGTTCACGTCGTCTCACACATAGAGAAGTGCGCAACTCTTTGAAAACACTTGGTGTTGATACTGGCCGCATCTTGGATATCAATTTTCCTGCCAAGGATGTAGTTGGCATCCTAGTTCACAACCAGTATGCTGAGAAATTCCAGACCACTCTGACCACAGTTGCCATTGAGATCTTAGATGCGTTTGACCCTTTGGATCCCAAAAACATTGCAGATCCCAAATATAAGTCTCTTTCTGATTCAGAGCTAGAAGAAGTTGCTGCTGAACTTCATTCTGATCGTTGTATGAAGGCTCTCAAGTACCTTCGTCCTCATGTTGCTGTTCCTGTTGGTCATTTCTTTTGTGATCAAGGCTGGATCTCTAAGGAAGATATTCCTGTCCATTCTGTTTCTGGTCCTGGTGCTGGTATTCATGATTTCCAATCACCATCTTGTCGTACTTCTGTTGCAATGTCTGAATGAGTGAAATCTCATTAGGACTTTGGAATGCTAATGGTCTGCAGCCTCGTGCAATTTATGATGTTCTTCAACACTGTCACTCTTTACATATGCTTTTTATCACTGAAACATGGCTTCTCCCCCCATCTCGTCTCCCCACTTCTTGGTCCCAGATTCATCTTTATGGTTCACCTGTAGCTGGCAACTACAGAGGTTCTATGGGTGTTTCTGTTCTTATTTCTCCATCTTGTCCTTATCCTGTCACTCAGATTCCTATGTCATCTAATTATGCTTTAGCCATCAAGATTGGTTCCCTCAGAATTGTATGCCTGTACTTACCGCCCTCTATGTCCACCCATGATGCTCTTGCAGTTCTCTCATCCATTCCTTTGACCAATGACACTATTATCTGCGGGGATTTTAATTCACGTTTGGGTTCACTTACTGGTGACTATGCTACTAACACTCGAGGTCTTGCTCTTTGTCAATGGTTAGAAGAACGTGCTCTTACTGTTGTCAATGGCCAGCTCTCACCATGCATACCTACATTCATTTCATTCCGCCAAAATGTGGAGATAAGCAGTATCATTGATCTGTTTATCACTAATATGTCCCTCACCAATGCCACTCTCAACATTCATACCGACCTCTCACTCAACTCTGACCACCGTCTGCTTTCACTTTCATTTACATATGCCATCAATCCAACATCACATGCACCACCACCATCTCGCAAAACATGGAACCTCTCACGTCTTCAAGAACCTGATGTTCTCAAACTATATGCCCACACATTTGTCACTAATTCCATCAACCTCAAATCCACTTTGCAATCGACCTTCGAACACCCTCCTTCCTCACATCCACCAATTGATGCACTAACTGATGAATTCAACTCACTCATTTATAATTCTTTAAGTAGCTCAATTGGCAACCGTCCTCCCCGTCCTTCCCACTGAAAAAAATTCTGGAATTCAGTACTTCAAGCAGCTGCAGAGCACCGCAATTTCTGCTACAAGAAATGGCGCCGTGCATGCGGTATAGACAGAATTCATTGGTGGGATAAGCATCTCAAAGCACAGGCAGAATTCCGACATCAAGTGCAATCATCTAAGCGCCAATCATGGCATGCTTTCTGCAAATCAATGGAACAAGACTTTTCCAAAGCAACATCAAAGATCAAGCAACTCAAACGCCAATGGCAGCCTCAGCACATGTTTCAACATAGTGATGGACCAGCAACAGCAGCAACAATTATGTGTGAGCATCTTGCATCTGTATACAGTGGCAGTATCCTCCCAGATCAGCGTCCTCCTCCTCCTCTTCACAGTACTAGTCTGCCTTTTACCTCTGCAAACTCGCCATTTGTTTCTTCAGTGGTAGAGGGATGCGTGCAATTTATGCCTAACCACAAGACACCAGGCCCAGATCATATCAGAGCAGAAATGTTGAAAGTAATTCGACCACAAATTGCTCCACTACTCTCACTCTTGTTCACCATCTGTTGGCAATGGTCATATGTACCTGTTATTTGGCGTCAGGCTCAAGTTTTTCCCATTTACAAAAAGGGAGATCCATCAATTGCTGCTAACTATCAACCTATTTCACTAACTTCTGTTGTGCGGAAACTGATGGAAATGTGTATTTCTCCAGTGCTTCACAAGTTTTCCCCTCCTCTAGATGTTGCTCAGGGTGGTTTCCGTCCTAGACGTGGTGTCATGGACCAAGCTCTCTGTCTGCATGACCTCATGAAAGCACACTTCCACCGTCACCACCATTATCCTGTTGTTGCATTCTTAGACATAAAGGCAGCTTATGATACAGTAGACTGACGAGTCATTTGGGATGCTCTTGCTAGACGTCATACACCACCAGCTTTACTTGGACTTCTTATCAATATGTTTGATGATGTCTCTATATCTGTTCTTCTTCGCAACTTCTCTTCTCATTCTTTGTCTCCCACCACAGGCGTCCTTCAAGGTTCCGTTCTCAGTCCACATTTGTATTCAATCTATATCAACTCCCTGCCACCAATACTCCACACAGTTGCATCACCACTCACTTTAACACATATCCCATCAACCTCTCCTTTCTCATTGGATGCTTATAATCACTGGAAAAATAGGGTAATTTCATCTATGGCATAGGGTACTATTATTTGTGAAGTGGTAGCTTAAATTTCCATTACTTTTGTCTTTTTTATTTTTGACAGCAATGATAATGCTCAGTCTGTTTTATTGGATAAAAAAACGAGTTTACTCTTTTTTGTAAAAAATGTCTGCGAGATTTCTTTTTGGGACTTGTTATTGTATCCAACATAATCGTAGATTCAAATAGAGTGCACAGACAATAAGACAAAGACATATTGAATAAGTGACCAGTATCAATTATACATTATTTCTCACACTATCATTAAATAAAGAATATACCAATAACAAGGTCACACACCTTAGTCAACATCACTAATCACTCAAACAAGAGCGTGGATAATAACTTAACAATATATTATCTATGCTATAAGAAAACAGACATCACATGATATACTCATATCATTATTCTAAATACACATGCAATGTCTATATAAACTCACATAGCAAATAGCAATAGAAGATTATCTCTCTTTTCATCAATAAACAAAGTCTCACCATACTTCTTGTCTGCACTTTGTTTTTCTTTCTTTTCTAAAAATATAACACTTGTAGCCATGTCGCAGAGTCAATAGTTGTAGGGAACTTAAACTAAATGATATCTTTTGAGTAAGATAATAAAGCTTTTTATTGTTGTAATATTTATTTATAAGTATGATGAGGTTAATGGTCGTAATATTACTACAAATATTTTTGTTGTATATGCTCTACAGCTAATAAAATGTACATGACGACATATTTTAACAAAAGTGTATGTTATTGTATTTTAAAATGAGGCAATCAATTACTGTTTAGAGAACTGCCCATTTTAACAACCGGAATAAACTATGTCATTTTGGAAGCTGGTGTAATTTGGAAAGACATATATTAAATTGTGTTCCTGAACAATTTTCTATTCTTGTCAATTCTAAAGACTTAAAAAATAAAAAATACACACACAATATGTCAAACAATAATAACAATTCAGAATGCAAGTGTTGTAAATGAGTATTGACTACTGCTGTAATTGAGAATAAGTCTGAAGGAAATAATATAAGGCCTCAGCTATTCCAGTCAAAGGTGTCTACCGATTACTTTATTATTTAACACACAGGTTTAGCATGCATGATAGTGATTATATTTCATATGATGATATCACTATAATATGGGATACATCAGTGGATTATTATAAGCATAATTATAACTCATAAACACATTTACTTTCGATGTTAATACTTCATTGGGACTACACACATTTATATAATTAATCATACATTAATTATCCCAAGATCACGTTGCTCTGATTAAGGCTCAGATAGGATCGATTACCTGACCCCAGTCATATAATTTTCCCAATCCAAAACAATATAAATAGCAGTAGTAGTTCAGTGTAGGAACCTGGTCAAACTTTGATACAAAATCTTTCTCAATAAACAAAACCTACACAAGTTCTCACGAATCTTCGTTCCTAATTTCAAATCTTGAATTCTTCCTCTTAAAAACTTCTTCAACTTCAACCACCACAACATAACTCAATGAGGCACAAAGTAGTATTTTAAGATGACGGTGGTCATCTTCTTTTGGAGTATTACTTTTTACAGCCCGCATTTTGTCAGAGTCAAACTGGATTTTAAGACAAGTCTTTTTTTTTCTTTTTTTTTTCTTTTAACAACATTTATTATTGATATTTTCTTTGTTTCTCTTTTGCTTATGTTTTTACAATTTCACTTACAATTTTTTCTTTCTTTTATAGCTCAATACCAAATATGTGTCTCTTTGTTTAGTTATACTCTGTCTGATATATCAAGGTAAGATATCATTCTCTTACAGATCTTTGTTACTCATTATATTATTTGTCTAGCCATTGCTACTCATTTCCATTGAGTCTCATCATCTCTTAATCGAACATGATGGTAAGTTTTTTTCTTAAAAAAAAAATTCAAATTATTCTTTTGTCTTCCTCATAAATATATATTTATTTCTATTACGATTTATTAGTTATGTCTGATATTATGCAGGAAGACGTACAATCAGTAATATTTGGTAAGTTAACTACAATATATTTAATAAATATGCCTTTACTACGCACAATATTAATAATTATTCATTTTTAGAATGTATCTCTATTCAAAGACTACTGATATTGCCTTGATAATTCTGAAGAACATGTTTATATCAATTTTATGTCAAGTTTTCTCCATCTTGTAAGTATTTATAAAGAAATTTCAATTTAAATCATTTACTAATTCTTCTTTTCTATTAATCATTTTTTAATAGCATTCCCGCTATTAAAGTATGTATTCCATGTCTACTCCCGGAAGGCTTTAAATTATATATAGCAAGCAAGAAGTATTAGCAATTATAATAGCTATAGTATCAAAACTGTCACGAAATTAGTATTTTTATTTAGAAAAGATTTTCCTATCAAATAAAACAAAATTGAACAAAAAATGTATAACCCAATGTTTTTCCAAAAAATAAATAAATAAAAGTAAAATATATAAACAAATCAAAAAGGCTTGTTTATAAAAATCTACTCATGCTTTGTTTTTCTTTTCCATTGTAAAAAAATCTAGTTTCATTGCTTTTGTATGTATAAAAAACCTAGTTTCATCACTTTGAACATGTATAAAAAACCAACTATCATCATTTCTTTATATTGTAAAAAACCTACAATCATCTCTTTGATAGTTTTTAAAGCATTTTTGCAGCCAATAAAAAAACCAGTAAAAATAATAATATGGGACGTTAGCTCTTTATAGATCTCAAAATATAACATATAAAGAAGTAGACTTGATAGGAGTAAAGTGTAACTACAATATTTATTCAGTTTCCATAGTTTGCAGACTGACAATCATTCTACATTGGGTTTTTGTATACCCATTGTTATGATGATATGCATCAGCACTGTTGTGGGGAGAAAATAAAGCAAAATATAATATAGACGAAAGAATTTGTGAGAACTTGTATAGGTTGTTTATTTCAAAAGAAAAGTAAAGAATGATAAAATTCGATTGTCTTTCTACACAGAACTATCTACTGATATTTATATGTTTTTCTAATTTGTAATTCAGTGTGTGCTTAAGTAATCTTTATCATGATGAGTCATCTTCCAGGAGTATTGTTCTTCTGGAAAGATCCGGAAAGACCAATTGATATGATACTTCTCCAGTCAGATCAGTCCAAGAGTTTTGGTAAAGAAGAGCATTTATGCTATTGGTAATATTTTAGTATTCCGACCCAGATACTTGGGTAATGTTTCATAATATTAGATAGTTGTAGTTGTAGTCTCTCAATTAAGTATTTGTATAATAAAAGAAATATGTAGATGAAATATAATGATGCTATATATATAATGTATATGTATTTGTATATCCCATGTCATGGTGATAATAATAAATAATCAATTATGTGTATGATGATCTGTGTATTAGATAATATCATAAAGGGAGATCCGTTTGACTGGAATAGCTGAGGATATTATTTTATCCTTCAGTCTTACTCTCAGATTCAGCAGTAATCAATACTCATTCACAACAGTCTGTCCATAAGTTGACGTCACATCAAACAAATATATGTTTTTGGTAAATGCTTAAATATTTTACAGCACTTGTGTTAGACAAGCATTGGAGAGATGGCCGAGTTGGTCTAAGGCGTCACGTTAAGGCCGTGATCTCTTCGGAGGCGTGGGTTCGAATCCCACTCTCTTCATTTTTATCGTATCAATGTGTTGTTCCTGATCTGGGTTTGTCGGACATTATTTTGATGAATCCGAGAAATCGGGATAATTGACCGCAGCAGTTCTGTATGTGAAAGATACCTCATAGATAACGAACCGCAGTAATGTCTTGTAAAGATCAACCACAGTAACATCTTCTGAGCATCAACCGCAGTAAAAGGACTTCTCTTGTAATTAAATAGAGTATAATAGTTTACTGCGGATAATGCGCAGTATTAGTTTAGAAAACTATATAAGACAATTCAATTCCTATCAATAAAAAGCACCTTTTATCCTCTCTTCGACTTTACATATACTCTCCGATCCCCAGTGGGTTTGACCTTTTGACTTTGCTATAGTAAAAGGAAGACCATCCCAGATCAGGAACGACAATTGGTAGCTGAAGCTATTTTTCCTCTAACAAGACCTTTGATGAATCCGGTTGAAAGACACCAAGACATATTTGATAAGAAGACCCTTAGCCAATTCGAGATTGAAGAACGAGTCCAGGACTTGTTACCCAGCGAATTAGTAAACGACTACAAGAAGAATCGGCGTGTTCCTCATATCCCTGAAGAACAGCGTATTAAGAAGACCCCTGCCCGAGAACAGAAGTGGACCGAACTAGCCACAAAACTAGCCGCAACCTTAACAGGAAAGAACAAACAAGAACAAGAAGAAACAATGGCCCCCCAAACCGTCACTCTAACAGCCGAAGCAATTGCTGCTGCCGTCGCCGAAGCAATGAAAGCAATCACGGTGCAGCAGGAGGCCCGTGCTGAACGAATCAAGCAACCTGATTGCTTCCATGGAGAACGTTCTGCCACAGTAGTGGATGGTTGGCTGCGCGCAGTCGAACGTTACACCAGATACTACAATTTTTCCGCAACAAAAGCCTGTGAATTTGCAGTGAATCTGTTGCGTGACAGAGCAGACACATGGTGGAGACGCATGGAAGTAAAGGACAAACATCCAACAACCTGGGATGAGTTCAAGATGGCTCTGTCGGGAGAATTTCGTCCAGTCTACTCACTACAGACGTCCAGGGACCGCCTTGCTCGACTATACCAAACAGGAACGGTCGCAGAGTACATCGACGCGTTCCACGACATCCAGTTGGAGTTGCCTGGAATGAACGATGAAGAAGCCCTCGACAAGTTTGTCCGCGGACTTCACCCCACCATACGAGGAAATGTTCTTGCCGCCCGACCTGTCGACGTTGACGATGCCTGCAACATCGCTTTGGCATATGCCAGTGGCCTCCACTTGGGGCAACAGAACAACTACGCACCCGTCCCCCAACCGTACCAACAGACGTACCAACAGCCGTACCAACAGCAGTACAGTGGTCCCGAGCCCATGGACCTGGATGCGATTCAAGGTCGCCGTAATAACTACCGATCTCGCCCCCCTCAGAAACGTAATGTGGCTACTTGCCATTGGTGCGGCGAAGTTGGTCACTTCAAGAGGAACTGTAGGGATCGATTAGCAGCGATTAGACAGTTAGATGAGGCACGTAGCAAGAAGCAGGGTTTTCGCGAAACACAACCGTAACGGGAGGTCGGTTGTGTTCAATGGAAGAAAAATCCTCCCCACAGGCTAATAATATTAGCGAAACTAGCGAACCAGAAATTAATAAAGACGTGTCTGAACAGTATACAAATGTTACCAATGAAGAGCCTGAGACTATGTCTGAAGAAAATTGTGACCCTTGTCTCACCGCTGACCAACATTTCTTAGAAGATCTCCATGCTGCCGTGGACACAGACTTGCCCTTATACGCCGCTATACTTGACGGACAACAAATCCTGGTGTTAATTGATAGTGGTGCTAGTGCAAACTATGTATCACCCCAGATCGCCCATTTGGCCACACACATTTTGGATATACCCGGACGATCAGTCGAAACTGC